GACGCCGGTAATTTTGTTTTAGTGGACATGCATGACTTCATTTAATACTGTGATGCTTTGTTTCAATAAGATAAGAGTGCGAAGCACTTGTGAAATATCATTGTTACAATGGAAATATGGTGCAGTACACATGAAAAATGTAAATTTGCGAATCTGAATAAAGTTTTTGAATCAAATCTTAATAAAATTAATTTAATTTTGTATTAATGAGATTAAAGTTTTGTATTTTCGTTACATTGAAAATATAGGCAAATGCTAAAAGTCTATATCCTAGGAGGCGACTTAACCGCCCGGTGAGTTTTCGCCGCAACTTGCCGATTTACGGGTATATTTTTGTATTTAGTCTCTAATGGCCGTTTGCACTGACAAATTAAAGTGGAGCTTAGCTTAAGCGTAGCTTAAAAGCCATGACAATTGGCAACGATTATTGAGACAATGGTTGCTATGTCACGCTACGCTTAAGCTAAGCTCCACTCCCACTTAAATTTGTCGGTGCAAACGGCCATTAGTGGTTGTCCTCATAGCACATTGTTTTTGAAAAGCTTATAGGAAGCAACTAAACTAAAACTAATATGTTCTGGTAAAAGCGTAGTAACTCCTATTCATATCCTTCTACTAGGGCGTTAGAAAGATTTTTTTAAATTATGAAGCATCGATTTTTGATCCAAATGGAAATTACTCTTTAGGCAATTGAATTGAGTATTTGATTATCCTTTGAGAAAATTTTCTTCACTTCACAAACCCAGCCCAAAAAATTGTATATTTTTTATTTTCCTATATAGGTACATCGCCAACTCAATCGCCAACGAATTTCACTCTTTTGCTAACTCTTTAGTTTAGACTTTTAGAGGATCAAAAAAGACAAACGCTTTTTAAAATATCGCCCTGTATATACTCAAGTTAAAGCGTTTTTTCGTGTTCCACGCTCGAAGACTAAGTATACACATATACAATGTAATACTGTTCTATACCGTGTTTGAATGTAAAATATAATCAGCACGGTAACAGTGCGAAAGTCACATACATTTAATGCAATAAATATAAACAACACAAGATAGCAATTTCCGTGGAGATTTTAATTATCTTCATTGTAATAATACGGAAAGCAAAACAAAAGAATTTCACAATGTTGTAAACTTTTCTAATAGTTTCAACCTACATATTCTGAATATGCAAATAGTAGTGGTAAATATGAGAGATGCATCAATGGTGTAATTCTTCGATTGGACGCGGACACCTTGTAACGAAATAAATTAATTTTATAATTACGCATCGGATTTTCCTGGAACATTAGAAATTACAAGCTGACAAAAAATAAACATATATAATTCTTTATTTTTTAAATTTCATAAATTCCACGAAAAAGATTAAATTCCTTCCTAAATTCTATGGCCATTGTTTACCCAATCTTTGCACGCTGAAATGTTTCTGAAATAAACAATTAAAAAAATCAGCATTCTGATCATTTTTCCACACTTTCGAAAAACGAATATTTTTAGCATACTCTCTTCTGTTCTTCTGGATGGAAAATTCTAATCCTAATGAAAATTGAAACACGTGTGATAGGTAAATACTACAGTTAATCTGCGGTACTACTAAATGCGTGTGTTTTTAAAATGAAATATATCCGGAATTATTAGTTATTAGTGTTATTACCTACAAATGATGCCCCCGATTTCAATTGAAAATATTACTGGATTAAAGGCTGAGTCTCACATAAGCGACGCGTCTACGTCGCAGCGCAGCATTTGCTGCTTCCAGAAATTTGCGTGCTTTTAAATGGGGTAATTCTCACTATAGCAGCGGCAGAGCGTTCAGTGGCGTAACTACAATGCCTCAAAGGTACGCAATGAAGACGGGCCCCGACTTAAAAAGGGCCCCGGCAAGAAATGTACAAAAATTTAATTCGTTTATAAAAAATTCTGAAAAAATTGAAAAAAAAAACGAAGCTGCATGCTTCCTTTTACAGTTTACAGTTACAGTCCGAAGAAAATTCTGAATCATTGCTCACGGAGGGTAAATGTAGGTGAACAATCTCCTTGCCCATTTGTGAAATATAACATTCCGATGTCTCTTACATAAAATACATGAAATACTTTGTTAATTATAGCGGGACCGAGAGCGGGACCTTCTCCAATTCAGAAGGTATCTGGAGGTCTTGGATACGGTAACCTTAGACTGAAGTTGTATTTCGAGATGAATGCCGCTAAGTAATTTTAACACTCCAGCATTTACCTCTGCACGGAGTAACAGACATTTAAAAAAGGGCAGATACATACACAAAGAGTTTAAACATCGAAGGAACTGGCCAATATTAAACAAATCAAATCAATACAAGAGTTATAATTAAAATTAAGTACATTACTACCTTTTGTTATGGCACAAATACTACACAAATCTTGACAATTAAAGTTCAAACAAAATCAACTGGATTCTGACTGAACGAGGTGACGCTAAATTTTACAATGGACCTGTGAACCAATGAATTCTAAAATGCAAAATCAGCAAAGCTAAATCAAGACACTATTTTCTACATATAGGTACAGATTAACATCGTTTAAAAATTGCTGATATAAGGAAAGGGCCCCCAAATATTTTTGAAGACGGGCCTCTAAAATGAAATTACGCCACTGAGAGCGTTGTATGCGATCCAGCAACGGATCTGTTGCGTCCCTTGGTAAACAGTCTGACGATGTTAGTTGCGTCTCTCGGTCATAAATAATATAGGCCTATTGCGTCCCCCACATTGTTTACAGCTGTTAAATGTTATGAATTGTATTTTTCACTAGCATTTTGTTTTATAAATCTAGAAATGTAATATAATATACAGGGCGACTATTAAAGATGGAACCAAAGTTCTCACCCTCAGACCGTTCGAGATATAGACATGAAATACTTCAGAAAATGTCCTTTAGGTGTATGATTTGTATTCTTTTGAAAGACCAAGAGATTGAATTTTTCTATACCAACTTTGGCCAAGGCGAATCTTTTATACTGGATCTTGTCAATATTAATTGTGCTGCTAAGTGTGTTGACTTTTCAAAATCCATAAAAATTTGAGATGGAGAAAACGTAAGATCAGCCGGACGCAATTGAGTTATAGTAAAATTTGCGCACGCAAATAACAGTAAATTAAGAGGGTAATTAGAGATCTAGGGACGCACCAGGCATCTGCTCTCCGAAATCTATTTTTGTGTAAAAACACTGTCTCGAAAATTGAATAATTAAGCCTTATATTCAATATGTAATATCATTGTATATACATCTTAAAGTACGGCCACGCAATGTTAAAATCATGCGACGCTTATTTGGGGGCAAGGAGATTGGTTCTGGGAGCCTACCAGAAAAGTACAGAATGCGCGCTGCGATCGCTCGGTTGGGTAACTGTATAACGACAGTAAAATTACAGAAACCTTTATCTAACTTCGTAAACGATACAATTTCAATAGTCTTGTTACATGTGGTATATACAGAGTGGCCCAACGAGAAGTATACAGAGGGCTTTTAGGGTATTAAATTTAGAAATTTCGAAAAATCCTCGAACACGTCAATTTTGTATTCGAGGGGGACAACTTTTGGAATACAAATCACGAACCCAAGTCTTCACCCCTCTACGTAGTGAGCTTAACCCCTAAAATTTTAAATGGAATCCTATGGCAAATGGCACATTATTTGAAAGCCAATTTAATCGTGATTACTAATCTGCTTTGCTTTTTAAATTCTATTGATTCGTTTCGGAGATATTCGCATTTGAAATGGCTTTTTCCCCTGATTTAAGTCCTTTAGATTACTTCTTGTGGGGATATTTAAAGAATAAAGTTTATGCTACTCCGCCCGGAACATTACAAGGGTTGCGAGCACGTATAACCATAGTGTAAGAATAGAATACACTATGGTATAACTCAACAATTTCGAGCGATTACCCCTGAAATCTTGCAACATGTACGGCAGCGTTTTGAAGCAAATCTTTATTATTGCATGGAAGCAGGCGGAAGGCAATTCCAGCATTTATTGAAATAAATGTTGTGTGTTTAAAGTTATTTGTTATTTTTTGCACAATTTAAACCTTTTTTAATACAAGGTGACTTACATCGCATTTGTTTTGGTTCAATTCAAATGCAAATATCTCCGAAACGAATCAATAGAATTTAAAAAGCAAAGCAGATTAGTAATCACGATTAAATTGGCTTTCAAATAATGTGCCATTTGCCATAGGATTCCATTTAAAATTTTAGGGGTAAAGCTCCCTACGTAGAGGGGTGAAGACTTGGGTTCGTGATTTGTATTCCAAAAGTTGTCCCCCTCGAATACAAAATTGACGTGTTCGAAGATTTTTCGAAATTTCTAAATTTAATACCCTAAAAGCCCTCTGTATACTTCTCGTTGGGCCACTCTGTACATATTTATAAATCAATTTTGCAAAGTTTAAATCGAATGGACCCAAGCGTTTGGCAGTTATCTTGTTTACAGATGGACAGACGTACACCATTCACTCCTCCCAGGAAGCTTCCATCGCTTTGTAAAATGCACTTTTTAAATTTTAAATTTGACACGCATAGAAGAAAACGATAATAATTTATAAAGTCAGGGACAATAAATTGTGACATGTTATCATAACTAAACGTACAAGCACTTATTGTAAGTAGGTATCTATACTTCATTTTTGTATGGAAATGCGTTTTACTCAAGGTAATTCTTGAAGCCCATTATTATTTGTAATAAATAAAATAATTGAAGTGGTTATTTACGTATTATCGCAACATGGATAACAAGTCTAATGCAATGTATGAGCCAAGTATGTTTTTTTGCTATGGAAACGCATGTACGTATAGCTAATTAGTACTTACTTGGACTAATAGGTCAGGTCCTTGATCGAAGGGGCTAAAAGTACAAAAGTGTAAATAAAATTATGCAAATCACGTCAAACTGCTTGTTATTATTTAAATATGTGCATCACAATTATAGATGTACATTGTAATAATTACATTATTTTGTTTCAGGTTGTGGGAATCCAACAATATCCAGTTCGTCCATTAGCGGCAGACGTAAACGAAAATATTTTATCCGACCAACTAACATCCGAATCCGTATTAACCGACGAATTAATTAAATCCGCTGGAAGACTGCTAGAAAACGCTTTAACGGAATTCGAGATCTACTGCGCTAGCATTCACGTTGATCCTCACAACCCCGGTTTTCAGTTTGTAACGGACGGACAGTTACCATTAAGACAATGTTTGCACCCAGAGGCCTGTAGAAAAGACATAGACTTACCTTATTACTATTCAACTTTCCATGACCTAAGGAAGGAAGTAGCGAAATTTATTGGAAAAACTGACGACTTACCTCAAAGTGTTCCTGATATGGTGACGTGTATCCTTTTTTTAATTATCAATTAAAGCGCCATGAAAACCAAAATACTTTAAAAATACGCTTTTTAAGAGGAATAATTTTGGTTTTAATTAATTACCACGCTTCTCTTTGTATTAATCTTTTAAATAATTAATTCTTGTTGATAATAAGCTATTGCTAAATTTTCTCACAATAACGTTAATTTTGCCTTAAAAAACTCGTTTGTCGAGAGTTGTATTGCCGAAATTTATGACGTAACTACACAATAATTAAACATAATTAAAACTATGAATCTATATATAAAACAACTCAGATATAATAACAAACCATGGTTCTATTTGCTTTAGGTAGATATACCGATGAAAATATTGCAGTCTTTATTATACGTTTTATTATTATTTAAACTCATATTTTACCCTTCTCTTTACAAAAGTAAACAATCTTCCTGAAGGAGCTTTTTGAAGCATACCTGGGCGCGCCTTGATGTATTGTATACCTACGTCTCGCACAGTGGCGCAGTATGTGCAAAGATGTGTCTTCCCCCTTTTGCACCCCCCACAGAGACGGTCTACTTCAAAGCTCATTTTGTGTAGGTGTATTTATATATTTTATATTCCCGCTGAATTTCAGGTCTAGAAAAGCCTTGGCTTGTCTACGACCAGAGTTACTCTGAATTGCAGTATTTTTCTTTTCCTTTTCCACTGTTACATGTGAGATGCTACAAGCCGGTTGAGGTCCTATAGAAGGCAACTGCCAACCTTCCTTGGCTAATCGGCCGGTCATTTCGTTACCCGTAACAAGAGAATGTCCTGTAGTTCAGCGGAGAGCCGGCGCTAACTCGCTTATTTGAGGTAGTTTTTTTTTTCGGAGTAGAAAGAATTGGGACCCACACCATTTTGTTCAGAAATGTTTGAACCTTCAGAATCTCGCTTTACGACATTTTCCCGTGGTCCTGACAAAAGTTATAGGCCGCTAAAGTTGAACTTTACTCATTTTCGCGCGCGCGACTAGACCACCGAAAGTATTTATTTTCTCCGCAACTAAGCGATATACATCAATAATTCCTTTTGTAAAATGAAAGTACATTTATAGCAGAATCTTAAAGCATTCATATTTACCTACCGTGTTATGCACAGTTTTTAGAAAAATGACCGTCAACTTCCAAAATTCGTGTAGCAGATGAAAAGTGCGCACTTTGAACTCTCATAACTTTTTATTTCACGATATCGATTTCCAATATGTATAGCTCATTCGATGCTCCAAAGCATTGTGATTATTTTATTTTCTATAACATTACCGTGAATTTTTCATAATAAAAAAGTTACGGTCATTTAAGTAAGAACCTACCCACCTCGCCGAGTCGTGAGTCGCGAGTGAGACGGAGAGGGAAGGATAGTCAGCAGCGTTCGCGCAACAAGGAACGATGCGTAAGAGGTTCTACTTTACTAAGAAATGTCTCTCCGAATACCAAAACTAGCTATTTAGGCCGTTTACAAATGCATTCCGCCGAGTTGCATTGTAAAATCTCAAACAATTCATTAACTCCATGTATTCGTTTAGGAGCCACCCTCAAAAAAGTGGTAAAGTTTCCATTTCTCCTTTAATTTTTTTCTCAGCGACAGTTACAGAGACTGATGGTAAGTCTTCGAATAGGTTTGCTGTATACCCTTTCCGGTTTTGCAAATAATTTTTCAAAATTCCTACCACAAAAAGACACACCCCTCACTAGGGGTGCGAAAAAATGTTGATTTCGACGAAATTTGGTATCTGGTGGTTTTTGAATATAAAAATCACGAATCTGGAATTAGTTTTTGTAAATTCGAAAAAAATAATTCCACTGCAATTCTTGGCCGGACAACGAAAATTGACAAAATTCCACGAAGTTTGTTGTGCAGGTACATACAGAACAAAATTGTCGAACAGTTTTTCTTAAGGTCATTTTTCAAACAAAAGTTACACTCATTTGCAAATTGATCTTTCGGGTTAGAAAATGTTCTCCGACAGTGGCATAACAAGTACAGTAAACGTCAATATTACATGTTCTGCTAAGGGTGTCTACCTACATTTCACAAAAATTTGTCAAATAAAAAATGATAATTTTATCACAGCGAGCAACTTCGACATCAATGAGGAAACAGTCACAGATTAAGAATAAGTAGGCCATATTCTGTGGAAACAGACGAAGAAAATTCAACGCACAGCCCTTTTTCAAAAGCGAGATACATCGGCAGAAGAAATCCAAATTCCTCGTTTACCTATCACTAGATAACGACCAGATAACTGACTTTAACAGCCTAAGTTTATGCTGATAATCCTAAGTAAGTTCCGGTATCTACCATTCAATATACCTATGTATGCCGTTTTTGAATTCTCCACCAACGAGCTACAATACTGTCCTAACCATCGTCTAGTGAAATCAAAAAACAAGCCTGAATCTTTGGGACAAAATCATACCGTTGTCACTGCTGATCTTGCAATATACAGCACAGCACAAGAGATACCTAATGTGGAGTAACCCCTAAAATTTACAGGGAAAGGTACCTATTTGTACCTATATATTTCACCAAAGAACTGAGATACATGGAGGTAATGAATAAAATTGTTTGAGATTTTACAATGCAATTCGGCGGAATGCATTTCTAAACGCTAAACGGCCTAAATAGCTAGTTTTGGTATTCGGAGAGAAATTTCTTCTCCTTGTTTAGCGAACGCTGCTGACTATCCCTCCCTCTCCGTCTCACTCGAGACTCCCGACTCGGCGAGGTGGGTAGGTTTTTACTTAAATGGCCGTAACTTTTTTATTATGAAAAATTCACGGTAATGTTATAGGAAATAAAATAATCACAATGCTTTGGAACATCGAATGAGCTATGAATAGATATTGGAAATCGATGTCGTGAAATAAAAAGTTACGCACTTTTCATCTGCTACACGAATTTTGGAAGTTGACGGTCATTTTTCTAAAAACTGTGCATAACAAGGTAGGTAAATATGAATGCTTTAGATTCGCTATAAATGTACTTTCATTTTACAAAAGGACTTATTGATGTATATCGCTTACTAAGTTGCTGAGAAAATAAATACTTTCGGTGGTCTAGAACAAAATGGCGTGGGTCCCAATTCTTTCTACTCCGAAAAAATTTTTTGAACGATTTCGCGGCTCTCTCCGCTGCACTACTGGTATCCATTACAGTGTGACATTATCTTCCGACAGCGGGCTCAGGGTTGGAATGCAAGAAAATTTATTTCTAGCTTGTATGAAAAGATATCAATGATGCGGTTGATTTTACATTTAAAAGTGATTTAAAAGGGTAGTTAGGTAGAGGTTAGCGTTCGTCACAATCACGACGAGGACAATTAAGGGTCTTAATTAGAGATTGTGTTGTGTGTGTGTCTTGGGTCAACTGTAAATACGTAAAATTCAATCCCTTTACATGGAATGCCCGATAGAAGTAGGTATACGTTTTGAAGCACAACGAATCCGAATCAAACAAATTCTCGATGATGTCGGTCGGTCTGTCTTTTCTCTCATTTCCGGCTAAACGGCCGAACTGATTGGAACCAAATTGTGTACACATATTCTTAGACAAAAAATTCACAGATTTCGCAATCCTTGCAACCATCGGAGACAATGGAAATAATAACCGTACAACGCCATATATGTATGTAAAACACAAGTAGCCCTTATTCATACGTAGACTTTCTATAACATGCGTGTAATACCATCACGGGCGATATGCGATAAAATTAGATTCGAATGAACAAAATCCTTGCGCACTGTTAAGTAAGTACCGCATCGACAGTATCCGCGACTTTTCCTGAATTTACCGATTGAGTACCGGACAATCATTACTTGATGCGACACCAATTGTCTTCTTTTCTGCTCGACTAACCAGTAACTTCATACCCATACAAAACATAAGCCTTTTCAATGGTAAAAGGCAGAGCTAAAAAGCTTTTGGACAGAATCTCACGCGCAGCTGTGTGGATGGTATCTGTGCTGGCCACAGCAAAAATTTTTAAGACACTTCTGACTCCTTCACGGGATTTATACAAAAAAAGACATTATAAAATGAATACATGCTGGGGAAATTCTATCGACAATTATATTCAAGGGAGGATGATATTGGCAAATACATATTGATTCAAAGGAAAGGCCCACTTTTCATATTTTGTTCTCAGCTGGATTTTTTACGAAGAAAGTTTCATGGCTAAGAAGAAGTTCTTTCATTCACTTTTAAAGAAAATTGTGTTCTTTTCTTTTACATTAGATTGTAGCGTTGAGTGAAGGATCTAGGCTTCACTCAACGATTGTAGTGTTGAAGTGAAAAAAGACCGTTTCTGAGATAATTTTATTTGAATCTGTGGATTGCCATCTAGCATAACTCGGTGAAAACGTATTCAAATGCACAAACTATGTATGTACATTATACTGTAGCATTGTATTTATAAACGAAAAACGACTGTAGTTGCAAGTTGCAATAAAAGTTCCGTTTTATGCAATATCTGATAGAGGGTACTGAAAGCACCAAAAGTGGTTTTTCAGCTTACTCGAGCTATAACTGACGTACGTTATTAACGAATGAACTGCAAAACTTATAAATCTTAGAAGCACGTAGGGTATATGGTAAATGATTAATTGAAAAGTAAGCACCTGTGTGAGTCTTGAACCCGTTCCGTTCTTATCTTTAAATATGTTTGCATTGCGTTTCGGATGTGACTGTTGAATGTTGTGAATGTGATTTTTCACCTCTAAAATTGGTATGGTTGTTTATTTCCTATTAGTTTTACATTTTTTACATTGTTCAATATTTACTTAATATCCCAATAGATATAGATTTAAAACCAGAATCCGAAAATGAATTTTACAAAAAAGAGGCTAAAGATATGATAAACATTGTACATAGGTTAATAAGGGACGGTAAGTTTTGTCTAATTGCTTTTTTTTTCATAATTTTCAACAGTTTTTTTAAAAATTTAATTACGAAACTCATTTGCGAAACAAATTGTGTAAATCGTGCAAGTTATTGTTTCTTCTTTTGCAAATATTCATTAATCATCATTATTTGTATCTACACTGAACTATAATTAATTAATCAAACATGCTTAATTGCACTTTTTTTTCAGGGCATCGATTCGAAATTCCGGAAACGATTAGTCTAATACTGGAACCTGGAATCTGGTAAGTTCCCATTACGCCGCTTACGATTTTGATTTTGAATCATATAAGTAATGTAAAGGTTGTAAAAATATTGTTTTTTCGTGTAGGTACTTAATAGAAATATGCGCCATTGTTTCATCAAAATCGATAAAGAAAAGTGCAACTTTTTTCGTTAGCAGCACTTTTCCCCATCAAATTCTCAAAATGAAATGTCACATTAGTTTTTTAAATTTTTATTTACCAAAAAAATTAAACGTGTAATTATTATTAGAAAATGTAAAGGCTAGGCGACTGCTGCAACTTATCGTAAGATCCTGGTGTACAAGTCTTATCTGAAAAGGTAGCTTGCAAAGTAACATTTCGCAGGAAACATCACAATAATATTATTGCTTGATATTATTCCGGATGTCGATGGCAAATTAGAGTCAATGAACTGATACTGGTGGAAATTGTTGAGCATTATGAAAATTGAAAATCCGATGTGATGTTTCCATTTTATTTTCGATACTTTCTTCAACATATACTTCCGCAACGGTACCTACTTGAGTGCCACCCACCATGCCTTATTAACGTTTCAATACTCACTACAGAACATAGTATGTTGTCATTTTGACGTTTTAAAAAAGCAATAGGCTTCTTATATTTACATGTCAACGTTTTGTCATCTTCATGAATAGATAGAAGGCATTTGATCATGGAGTAGGTACATCAACCACAACGTTGACGCTTTTATAGATTTTGACTACAAACCAGGCAAATTTAGATTATGACTGTTTGGACAAAAGGTAGGTATCATAAAATATCATAAAAATATGCAATCAAAACTTCCTCGTTGGCTCGTTTTCGAAACATTTTTCATATTTCCCCTTGGATTTTAAAGGTAGGTACTAAATTTTCAATTAACTACCTCTTTGGTTTTGATAGAATTTCTTATATTTGCTTATTTTTATATAGAAATCCCTGTCAATTTACTACAAGTAGGTAATACATAATACAAAATAATACAAAATTTTAATCTTATGGAGACAGAATTTCATTTCGCCGTTATTAAAAATGGGGTATTTTAACTCTTGTGGCCGGTTGCACCAAAACAGTGCAACTTTGGTTCACTTCACTGATGTAGTTTCGCCAATCCCATTTAAGGCCTGGACACGCATGTCCGTGCCGTAGCACGTCCAATAGATAAAAAAAATTATCAAAGTCCTCGTGTGGGACCGAAGGGACACTATTCTATTAGCCACTTTTGACTCAACCATGAATAAAAGATCTTGTCGAAGGCTACCACATTCCCTTTAACGGTACCCACTTCCGACGTCCCGTTCACCCGCAATTCGCGTTTGAAGATTTGACTCCACCATCAGTAAGATCGTGTCGGGGGCTACCACATTCCCTTTGACGGTCCCGTTCGCGTAAAGACATTGTTTACTACGGTGCAACGCAGTACCAGATTGCACTGCAGTAAGGTATGACAAAATGTACGCTGCGTTTGCTTTGGCAATCCTTACTGCTTTACAACGCTGCTGTAAGCTGTAGTGTAGTAAGCTTTGACCGCTAAGAAGGCGATGTTTTGTAGGACATTATTTACCACGCTGTAAACAATGTGCTTGATTTATTGTAACCTTATACAAGTGACGACTGAAGTGAAGAGTAAACAATGAGAATAAGAAAAATTAATTACCTTTAATAACTGAATGCATTCACAAATTTAAAACACAAAAAATGTTAATGCCATTTTGCATTTGGTCTATTATGTGTTATGTTCAGCCCCAGATTGTGGCGTCGTTTTTTTGTTTGATTGTTTTCAAGCGCAGAAGGACGTAATTTTCTTCGGCTGAATGCAGTGGCCTGAACTCCGATTTTACGGGTTCCTTGGGATTGTTTAACGCTGTGAATGTACCTAATTTAATATTTGCATCGGAATCGAAATTTGTCTAAGGACTTTGCCATCTCGGGTGTTCTGCAATTTTTTGCAACGTCTCTAAGTTTTTCGAAATGTTTAAATAACTCTTCAACTGGGGATGAATGAACTTCCATGTAGGTGCTGAATCGGTTCGGTCAAGCTATAGTTGTAGGTAATATTGGAAATACAAGAGCCAATTAAAGTAGGTATATATGCTACCTACTAATAGCTATAAAATAAATCAAAAGAACCATATTGGTACCTCGATTGGTACCTTCCCTCCACCGTGTAGGAGATAGATGCGTAAATAATTTTTTCCAAAAAAAACCTGCGCCCCTACAAGTTAACAAGTTAAAACTAAACAATTTTAATTATTTGCGAAATAAGCGCTCGCATCTGCATAGATAAGACTTAATGCATCATTTCTGTTGCAGTGCAGTAAACAATGTCTTACTAACTATCGCCTTCTTTGCGGCCAAAGCTTACTACACTACAGCTAACAGCAGCGTTGTAAAGCAGTAAGGATTGTCAAATCAAACGCCGCTAATATTTTGCCATTACGCAGCTTGGTATGTAATATACTATTGTAACGCAACTTCCGAAATCCGAATTAATAAATGGAAAGGCTTAAGCTACATGACTGAGCACTTTAATTGTAGACCCTTGACTTGCGCATGCGTTTAATTTTAGCAATCGAGCCATTCATGAACCATTTTTACTAAATATATAAGTATTAAATATTGGTGTTATACTTGTCGGATGTTGCATAATATGGAAAATACGCTTTAACCAATGGCGCAGTTTTTCTAACGACGTATTACTTGCCATTTAAACGTATAGGGATTGTGCGCAGAGTTCGACCGTTTTTGAAAAATAGTTTTTATTTCATACTATCTAGTAATCGCCGCTTTCCCAGACTGATTTGAGTCTGGTAAATCGTATTTTACCAGACTGAAAATTTTTACCAGACTGGAAACGTTGCCTAGCAACATCAATTGACATCCATCTAAACCTATGTATTAATGTGTCAAACTACTGTCAGATCAAACAAATCAAGTGATCGACTTTTGCTTTCAATTGAACGCGTACACGTTCCAATCAAAAATTGTATGGCATTTTAATAGAAAAAAGAGCAGTATGAAATAAAATGTTTTACATCATTTGTATGTTAAATCAGTTAACGTTACTCGTTTCGAAATTCCTGCCTCAGCTACGCTTCGGCAGTAAACATCTCACTCGTTAACGTAAACCTTGATTTACCATACTCATATGTAAATAACTATTACCTGAAACCGTCAAAAAAAATCTAAATTTCAGGGCTATTTTGATATTAGAAAGTTGATCTTTACCTGACTAGTACTGTAATATTTTTGCCTGACGCCCATTACAGTCCTAGTACCTACATGCAAAATATAATGAATAAGTTATATTCAATCAACGATTGGATAATTATAATGCAGACTATGTGGATATTTTTAAATATTAGTATACCTACACAAAGGATAATGGTTTTTTATTACTAGCAATTAATGGAATATGTGTGGAAGTAATTATTCCTTTAGTTTTGCGCCAGTCCTTAAAAGGTTTGTACGCCTTTTCGTACCTTTTTTTTGACTTTGTGGGGAGCGAATATTGCACTACGGCGGCCGCAGCTTCGGCTACATTAGGTATAACAACGTCTTGCATAGGTAGTCTTCTTCACTGATACCTGCTTTTGTACCTAGTTATAAAGACTGTATAGTTGAAAAGTACAAAGCATAAACTGCAAACTGCATTAAAAATGACACTGACTGTTTTAATTATTTTGAAATCTCTATGGAAACAATTAAGTGATTTTAGCATGCGTGATTAGGTATCAAAATTTCACACATGAATAATTTAATTGGAAAAGTTTTCTACATGTTGCGGGTTCAGGTAAAATTTTATACATAATACGTCACGAAAGTGAGTCCACCTGACTTGGAGGCATTAAAGAGATACTCGGACGCTGCGCGTCCTCGTACTTTTCAATAAGCCTCCGCGTCATGTAAACGACCACTTTCATGACTTATTATGTAAATAACTATTACCAGACTGAAAATTTTTACCAGACTGGAAATTTTGCCTAGCAACCACAACTGACATCCATCTAAACGTATGCATTGATATTTGTCAAACTACTGTCATCAAACAAATCAAGTGATCGACTTTTGCTTTTATTTTAATGTGTACCTACAACGTTCTAATCAAAATGGTATTTTAATAGAAATAGAGCAGTATGAAATAAAATGTTTTACATTATTTGTATGTCAAATCAGTTTACGTTACTCGTTAACGTAAACCTTGATTTACCATACTCATATGTAAATAACTATTACCTATCAGAGTATAGCTTTGTTTCGTGTTCCCTGCCCTTTATATAAAAACACTCGGATTTCTCCTAGGCCATTGATGAAATGACTGGTCGAATTTGGTAAAAATATAATCGGTTGAAAAGACAAGTCTTTATATAAATAATGGCTCATTACAGACACATGAATACCTATAAACAACTTACATTTAGAACCGAGTAATTAAATCATTTCTTAATCATTTGGGAAAACCGTAAAACAATGCAGATCTGAGAATAGGTTTAAGCATTTATGTTGTTAATTAGTTACTCAACTCAAGTTGTACTCCAGCAGTAACTAATTGATTTAAATGTCAGAATAACCAAATCTACTTCTGGCGGTTGACTCCATTATACAACGTTTGAAAAATTAGCCATCATTATTTAATCACATCGGTGTTCTAGATCTTTGTATACAATGATTTGGATGGTATAAAATCAAAATGGTCGTATCTGTGATTTTTATTTGGTGTATATTCTCGATACATTCCCCACTATAGGGGTCCTGCCACACAGAGCGCGATCTGCGGTTAACGGTCTGCGATATTTGTATTCTATCTACATGTATTGTACCTGTCAGAGAATACTCGCGCGGCCTGAACATAGAATGCAGATATTATAGAGACGCGTTCTGTCTGGCAGGACCTTAAACGATCCCTTGTTGGCTACAGTAGCTTTTCGGAAAGAGGATTTATTGAGGTTCACTCGTGTACTACCGCCTCTCCCTCCTCTCCTGCTCTACGAGCCTCTACT